AAAAAAAAAAAAGAATTATCTATGTGAGATCAAATTGACAACAGCAACTCAAAAGATTTGATGGGAAGCCTAGGGGGCAGTGAGTTGAAGACAATGGTGATGGAATAATTTGGAAAAGGATAGTGAGAATACCAGTACAACTGGAAGAATGTAATCAATGCCACTGAATTGTACATGTAGAAACTTTTGAAATGGTGTAACTTTGGCTATGTATATTTTCACCAAAAAAAAAAGAAGCGTCCTCCAAAGTGGAGAAGGGAGAGTGTTGACATGTCATGGGGTTGTTAACCAGTGTCATAAAACAATGTGTACTGACTGTTTAATGAGAAACTATTTGTTCTGTAAATCTTCATCTAAAGTACAATAAAAATATATATATTTTTAAAAAAAAATTTGTTAGATATTTCAGTGTTTCACTCACAGGCTTTTAATTTAAAAACCTTCTTTTCTAAGTTTCGATTATCTAAAACTTAAGTCCAAATTGTTCTATAGTATGCTCCCCACCAAAAAAAACTTCCTGAACACAGTTAGGTACTTTTTGTTTAATTAGCAATAATATCAGCTTCCACCTGGGTGGAGATGTATCTCAACCCATCAGGTAGAAAGAACAATATGAATAAAAACACCACAAATAAATAAACCATTAGTAATGAGAAAAAAAAAAAAATTCTAATTTGTACCTGATTTACTTCAGGAGTGAGTAGTTCTCTATATGACAGGCAAAGAGAAATGTTTTTACCTTACCAATGCCACATCTTGTCAGCATTTCAGCAGTCACACTACCAACTCCACCAACACCTACTATTGCTACAGCAAAGGTACGAATTTTCTGTGGAATGCAAAATTATGTATGTGTTGGTTAATAACTCTTCATTAAATATGTCATCAGAAATTACTTTCAATTATAGTAATCATCTTTAAAAACTTTGAAAGGTTTATTATACCTCATAGTCGTTTACAATTCCCATTCGTTTCAATGCCATCAGGCGGCTTAAAACAAAGGAAAAAAAAGTGTTAAAGCTTACAGTCTTTTAGTTTCTAGTGATACAGACAGGCATACAAAATCACAGAATGTAAACACCAAAACTCAATCACTAATACTTTAAAAAATGGCGAATAGCTGTCTTTTACCAGATGTACTTCACATGTCCTTAAATGAGTTCTGTCTTGGCTGCACATTAAAATCACCTGGGAAGTTTTAAAAACGCTGATGCCTAAGCAACGAAATTTTTTAAAAAGCTCCTCAGATATTCTAATGTGAAGCCAAGTTTGAGAACTAAATGTTAAGTATCTACATGAGAAGCGTCAAAGTGCAATTTCAACACTTGCCCATGCTTTCTCAGTATACGTATATACTTAATGTTTAACATTTTGATCTTCATCATCAGAATAATCGGAATCCCACTCACTTGTTATCTCTGCCCCAATGGATAATACCTACTAACTTTTATTATCTTTTATATGCCAACCATTGTTAACAGGTGCTTTATCTAGTTATTGCTAATCTGTTTTATCTTTTTTAAATTATATATACACAGTTTAAACCTACCTACATACAATTCCCATTCATTTACACTTTAAAGAGTCAAACACTTTTACCTCGCCTGTTAGAAAATACAGCAGTCGTCAAGCCCCCAGGCTCATTTTCCTTTCCTCCTTCACTTTCAACTCTACTACCAACTTATCTCTAAATAAAATGCTAACATTGTTATTTTTTGATTTTCAGTTTTAGATATAATCTGAAGATTTCACTCTTACCATCCTTTCCCTATTGGAGAGAAACAAATTATCCAGAGAATAGAGCAGAAAACTAAAGCGATAGGCAATAGGAGAAAATAAGAAACGTAGAGGACCAGTCCAGGTGGTCCAACTTCATAATAACAGGAGTTCCAGAAAGTCTAGGAAAAAACATTTCCTAACCAGCCTCCCAATATTGTTATATGGCCATTTTAGTTAGATGTTATTATTATTCACAACTGGGTCATGAAGTATAGTAGAACTTACCCTTTCTTGTACAACTCTTACCTCTGAAGTTAATAATTGTTTCCCCTTATACTTAATTTTCTATGTATTTTTCACAAATTCAACCCCACCATCTCTACCAGTTATCTAAAATTCCTCTAAATTTATATGCAAGAGGTATTCTATCAATTCATCTTAAAAATATAACTTCCAGAATCCTCTGATGTGCTCCCATGTCTACATGTACTGCACTCTTAGCTCCCATCCTGAGTTCTCCCTTCATAATACTATGAATTCTCTTCATTTCTTTATTCTGTATTGATCCCCCGCTCCCTGAATCCTATAGTTCAGTAGTTTTAAAGTATAGTCCACGGACCTAGCATCCAGGAATCTGCTAGAAATGTAATTTCTTGAGCCCCACCCTAAACCAAAAACCACTGCCGTCAAGTCGGTTCCAACTCCTAGTGACCCTATAAGACAGAGGAGAACTACCCCATAGGGTTTCCAAGGAGCAGCTGGTGGATTCAAACTGCCAAATTTTTGGTTAGCAGCCGAGCTCTTAACCACTGCGCCACCAGGGTCCCAATGGGCCCCACTCTATGCCTACTAAATCAGAATATGGCCGTTTGGACACGGGGCCCAACAATCTGAGTTTTAACAAGCTCCCCATTATTATGCACAATAAAGTTTGAGAATCTCTGATATAGATTATTTCTTAATTTACTCCCTTGTGTTGGTTGGAAGAACATCCTCCAGCAGCTTCATAACAAAGGGTGTGAGGAAGGTAAAGTTTGAGAACTTGCATACCTGAAACAATTCTTATCTCCTTCCTCCAACACACACACACACACACACACACACACATTTTATTGATAGTTTACCATTATATATGTAAGCCTAGGTTAGAAAAATTTTCCTTCAAAATTTCTAAGATATGGGAGGCGGGGCCAACATGATGCCATAGAAGAAAGTACCATGCTGTCCCTCTGCAGCAAAGACCTGAAAAACTAAGTAAAACAGATATAAACTCCAATTCTGGAACCCTAAGCGTCAAATGAAGGGATAAAAAACTTAATCAAGCACCAAATGGAATAAGAAACTGATAGAGAACAGAGAATGAGGAGAGCTATAGAGTGGAGGTCCCCTACCAGCTAATGCGGCATGGATTCACCATCTTGGACTACAGCCACCAAGGAATGTGGATAGGGAAGATGGGGAATATGGGAAGGCAACTTCACGGGGCTCCCAACAGGAGACAGAGCACCCGCTACACACATCACATCCTCTCCCTTCCCTCCTGCCTATCTGCACCATGCACCGAGCACTGCACCCCCGAGTGGCACTGGCATGGATCCCCAGACCCTGCCCTGTACTGCCCTCAGCCCCGCCCCAACAGACCCAGTTCGTGCCGCAAACAACACATCCTCGCCCCTCCCTCCCCTGCTGTACCTGCCCTGATGCACTACAGCTGAGCAACCGGCCCTGCCCACTTAGACAAGGTGGTGAGAAGTATCGTACCCACAGACGAGCAAGCAACGAAACACGCCCAGCCCACCTTCCCAGACATACCCAAATAAAACAAAAAAGCAGGATGAAACAAACAAATCTACGATCAATAAACAAAGAAAATAATTCCTGAATGTTCCAGAGACAGCAGACAATATTAAAACATAAAAAAAAAAATAGGAGAGGATGGCTCCAGAAAGTGACCAAAATAAAACACCAGATGACATTCCAGTAGAAAAGTCACTGGGACTACCTGGTAGAGAATTCAAAACTCTAATAGTCAGGACTCTCCAAAAGATCAGGAAAGAAATGAAGGAAAACACAGACAAAAATAAGGAAAAGATAGACAAAATCATGGAAAATAGAGACAAGATCAGGGGGAACACAGACCAAGCAATGGAAGAATTCAGGAAAACAATACAGGAACAAAATGTCAAAATAAATAAACAACTAGAAATCATATAAAAATAGCAATCAGAAATCCAAAAGATAAACAACAAGCTTTCAGAAATGAACACTGCAATATAGAAGGTTTTAGGAGCAAATCTGAAACAACAGGAAATAGGACCAGTGAAATTGAACACAAATCCTTGGATACCACTTCATTTGAGGAAAAATCAGAGAAAAGAATGAAGAAACCCTGAGAACAATGTGGAATACAATCAAAAGTAAAAATTTGCGTGTCAGCAGAGTTCCAGAACAGGGGGAGAAAACATAAAACACAGAGAGGCTCACTGAAGATTTGCTGACAAAAAACTTCCCTAGTATCATGTAAGTTGAAAAACTGACCATTTAAGAAGCTCAACAAACTCCATATATGATAGATCCCAAAAGAAAATCATCAAGTTATATCATAATCACACTCAGTAAAACCAAAGACAAAGAAAGAATCCCCAGAACAGCTTGAGAAAACCAAAAAGTCACATACAAAAGGGAAACAGTAAGACTAAGCTCTGATTACTTGCCAGAAACCACGCAGGCAAGAAGGCAATAGGATGACATACATAAAACCTTGAAAGGAAAAAAAAACTGCCAATCAGAATTTCTAAGACATTGCTCCAGACAAGAACAAAGCATGGCTTTGACAAAACAAAGCTATTCTGATTCTGATATTTTGCTATGTGGCCTGGTAGTTTGTAGGATCTTCTTAGTCCTTACTATTCTGCAATTTCACAGCATGCCTTGGTGTGAATCTATTCTCATCCATTGTGCTGAATACATGGTGGACCCTTTCAAACTGGAAACTCATGTTTTTCTGAGAATCTTCTAGAAGAAATTGATGATTTCCTTGTTTACTTTTCCTGGACTTTCTGGAACTCCTATTATTAAGAAGTTGGACCACCACCTGGACTAGTCCTCTACATTTACTTTCTCTCTCCTATTTCCTATCACTTTCGTTTTCTGCTCTACTCTCTGGATAATTTATTTCAACTTTATTTTCCAACCTTTCTATTGAGATGTTCATTTCTGTTATCATTTTTCAAGAATTCTATACTATAATCTTGAAGTACAGGGACCCAACCCCCAATTATTAATACAAACACTATTTTTTCAATAGGTGTTCATTCCTTTAAAAAAATTCCTTTACTATCACTTTAGTGTGGTTGAGTAGAAAGTGATAGTAAATGCTTGTGATCAACCTGACACCTTTACTTTCCCCTAATCTTCATGTATAACCCTGAGAAGAATGTACTGCAACTCTCTTTTACAGATAAGGAAAAAGATTCAGGTTAATTAACTTGCTCAAGATCAAACAGCTAACTGGTAAACAATACTCAGAGGTGGGTTTCTGAGCCAGATTTTAAACCAGGTTTTCTTGTCCTAAAGTCTCTGTTTGCCTCTCCATTTTCTGCGCATGCTTTAAAGTATATTCTGTAACACATAATTTCACATTTACTTGTGTTGTTTGACCATTATTCCACATTCATTAACAATGTCTACCAAACTAAAGGAAAGGTCTTTGAGAACTGGGGGTTTATACATTTCTTTGTGTCACCTGATGCAATCAAAATGGTGCTAAGCACCTAAAAACCCCTCCTATGTTTTTCCATAACCCTGTACTTCCCCTATCAAAATTCTTACCACCTGTATTACAACTGCATGTTTACTTTTCTCACACTCATCTAGTAAACTCTGGAGGGAAAAGACCATGTCCTCTTTGTATCCCCGGTGTCTGTACATAAGAAATGCTCAATAAATGGTAGAAAATATCATAAGAGGGCTGGAGATGAAAAGGTGTTCAATAAACATTTTCTGAATGAACAACAATTCAAAAACTTAAGACTAAGCTTCATTAAATTCCCATATACCAGTCAACAGTTTTGGGTGACAAGTGCCCTCTCCTATTTAGCGATTTTAATAACGTTGCATGGTGCAAATGAGACAGAAAATACTAACGTTTAGATTTGAGTTCTGAAAGTTTTGTTTCTAACTATCACAATGTCAAGGGAATCATATCACACTGAAGCAATCTTTGAAATATGATTAAAGATGACTCTAAAGAACAACTCATATTCCTTTCCTTTTCATTCTTAGAGGGAAAGTTTCAAAGTCTTCATTTGTAAAATTTAAAAATGTTAAAAGGTGGTAAATGAAATAGTTTACACTCAGTTCTGATTAGAGATGTCAGCTCATGCTTATTCAATCTCTAAAAAACTTGGATCATTAACTCTTCATATTTGACAAGAGTTAAAATACAGTGTACTCTAAGATCTACTGAAGCTTTATGTCACAAATAACTAAAACTTTTTTTTTTAATCAAAACTCATGCTCTTTAAAGGGAAAGAGCAAAATCATCTTTTCTATTTCATCTACTTTAAAACTATCCAGTTTTTAGCCACATTGCGTACTTACTGACATTTTTACTGGGGAGATTGTTCATATGTACTCTGGAGTAAAAAGCCTAATCCAGTCTAGGCCTTATAACTTACTACTAGCTCTATGACCTGAGACAAATCATTGCAGTTCTCTAAGCCTTAATATTTCTCAACTATAAAATGGGAGTAAAATAATAGTAGTGATCTCATAGAGTTGTAGTGAGGAGGGAAAGACAACGCATGCAAAGTGCTTAGCACATACTAAAAGATGTACTGAGAAATACAGTTTTGTATAAGGCTGACCATGTGCTAACCATTTTAAATATACTTTTTGAATCCTCACAACTCTGACTGAGATAGATACTACTATTATTTCCACTTAACAGGTGAGAAACTGAAACAGAGAAGTTAAGAACTTGCCCAAAGTTACACAGCTACTAAGAAAGGTGGGATTTGAATCCAGTCAGTCTGACGCTAGAGTTCTTACCCTTAACCACTGCACTATATACCGCATTCTGAATTTTAAAAAAGCCTTTTTAGAAAAGAAGCGGGAGTGGCAGGGCTGGCAAAGTCCAATGGTCTGAGATGTTAAGGTGCACTCCAACAAATTACAGCCAGTCTCGCTCCCCCTTCCACCCTTTAACTTATGAAACATTGAGAATCCTTTATGAACCTTTTTAAAATTTATGCGTAGCAGGTTTTACATTTGACGTCATCTTCTGAAAGTTCTCATTACTATCAGTCTTACGTGAAGCGAGGCAGACTAATAGATGCAGGGGCGAAACAAGACTGGATCTGCGTTCTCGGTAGTCGCGAGAGCAGCACCATATGGCTGACTCGGGTGTTTTAAAAAGAGAAAGAACAACTTCTGACCGGTACTAAGACGTGGTTTTGCCCGTTTGATAATGGGACCTCAAGACGAGGGAATGGGGGACGGAAAGCCGAGTAAACTGGGCCGGGGGTGGGCGCGCCTCGCTCGTCACCACGGGGAGACCGTCACCTCGTCTCCCCGGCCTGCCTCCAGGCCCAGACACAGGTCACCTGTAAGGGTTGGAGTCCACCACCTCCGGGCTCATCTTCTCGATGCGGGCCCGGCCGCCCCCTCCATCGCCGACCCCTAAGGCCCGCCGACTTCTCTCCTGGGCTAGCTCCAGCTCCAGCTCCTGTACCCGCTGCTGCAGCCGCTCCACAGACTCGGCCATGGCTGGGACTCCGACCGCCAACGCTCCCAGCCCTGGCCTTCGCCGCCGCCCCACGCTGCTCGGCCAGCTGGGCCCACGATGGGTAATATGAGGAGGCACTTAGCCGCCGCCTTAAACCAGAGCCCTAGGAGGTACTCCGTCGCCTCACAAACAGACACGTCTCCCCGGCTCCAGCGGGACTTCCACGATACTGCTTCCGGTGCGCCGCAGTCATTGTTCCCCCTAAGCAAAAGTTCGCCCTGGTTTAGCTTCCTTCTTTACCCCGTGCTGTGAGATCAGGCCTCAGCAGAGCCCGGGTCATAAGTGTCTAGGGCTGGTCGCCTGCGGGATGGACTCTCTAACTGTGCGGCGAGAAGAAACATCAGAAGCTTTTATTCTTGGGCTCCAAGTCCTGACGCACCCTTTTCTGGACCGGACCCTACAAGTCTTCCGCCTGCTGGCGCATTAAGTTTAGGTATGGAGGAGGTCTGTTCGTTCTTGTTCGCCCGTAGCGACGACTGGGGCTTTGCTTTCTTTAAAACTGTGGCCTCCAACTCAATTTTTAAATCTTAATACATCTAGTATTTCCCTACCAAACCGAAATCACCTGTCTAGCTGGCGGACGTTGCTCAGCAACGGCGGCCAGGGTGTTTGTGGTTGGCTGGAGGCGCTAGGCCCGCCCCCGGCCTCACGGCGGCAGCTCCTGCGACGGCCTCCACCCCCGCCCCGTCCGTGGGTGTAGAGTGGCGCTCCCGTGACGATACGCTTCTCGCACAGGCACTCCAGACCAATGGATTCCACGCCAGTGCGGCCTTGCGCGGTGGCAGTCATGGAGGCCTGTGCCGCCCGGGACCCTGAGATGGCCGAAGTGCTGCCCCAGCACAAGTTCGACTGCAGGTCCCTGGAGGACTACCTAAGCCAACATTTGCCCGGCTTTGTGGCCGAGCCGGAGACCACGCTGTCAGTTACCCAATACAGGTATCAACTCCAGCCTTCGCCTCCAGCAGATACAAATCTGTGCATTGTGCTTTTCTTCCTTTCGTCCTGCATGGTTCCTAAATTCCTTCATCCCAATTTCTTATCCTGCAATGACACACTCTTCAGGCGGGAACTGCCATTGCTGGTCCCCCTGCATTCTTTCTGGGGTATTCCCAGTTCGAAGGCAATAATGGAAGCCCGTTAACATTCACGATTCCTATATGCGAAGACATCTTTAATAAAGGATGGAATTATGTGCCTTAAGGGTTTACTAAGGCAATTAAGGCTGGGAAGTAAAAAGGCCTTCTCTCAACCTTTGTGCTACAACCATTAGATCTTTTTTCTGAGAAGCTGGCGTAATTACGTTAAAATTGGTGGTATTCCTGGAGGCTGTTAATGGCACCAGTTGGGGCATTCGAATTCTAATCCTAGCTCTTCCACTCCGCAAGTCATAACACCACTTTGGACCCTGTCATGGATTGAATTGTGTCCCCCAAAAAATGTGTGTAGCATCTTGGCTAGGTCATGATTCCCAGTATTCTATGATTGTGTTATCTGATGTGATTTCCTTACGTGTTGTAAACTCTACCACTATGATGAGATTATATGTGATCTCCTCATGTGTTATAAATTCTATCACTGTGATGAGTTTATACTGATGAGGTTGACAAGATTAGTGTCTTAATGCAATCTGTTTTGAGTTATAAAAGAGAGAAGTGAGCAGAGATACATGGGAACCTCATATCACAAAGAAAGCAGTGCTGGGAGCAGAGCTCGTCCTTTGGACCTGAGGTTCCCGCACAGAGTAGCTCCCAGACCAAAGGAAGACTGATGACATGGACTTTCGTCCAGAGCCGATGGAGAAAGCGTTCCCCTGGAGCTGATGCCCTGAATTTGGACTTGTAGGCTACTGGACTGTGAGAGAATAAATTTCTCTTTGTAAAGCCATCCACTTGTGGTATTTCTGTTGGAGCAGCACTAGATGACTAAGACAGGCCCCAAGTTTTGGTTTTGGTTTTAAATGAGGGAATGGAACTAAATGAGACAATGCTGAGAGTACTGCTCCACATCTGAGTCTGGTTCTAGTCTGATATTTTATAAAAGAAAATGAATAAAAATACACTTTATTCTAAAAATAGTATTTTGATAAGCACAAATGCTATAGAAAGAGTCCTGGCTTCTGAGCAGGGCTTCCAAAGTTTCTTCTGATTCCAACCCCTGCTGAGAATTTACATTTCAAACAAGTTCCCAGGAAGTTATACATAAGAATCACCTGGGGATGTTGTTAAACTACAGATTCTGGTTCAGTATATCTGGGGTGGAAATGCAAATTCTCAGCAGGGAACTTGTTAGGAATGGGAATTCTCAGCAGGGGTTAAGCCTGACCAGTTGGAAGCCCTGCTTCTGAAACAGAAAAGACCTATCACTGATGACTGGGAGTTGAAATACTTTACATAAACTCTCTGAGAACTCAGTTTCTTAATCTATGACACCTGCACCTTCTAATTAGTCTGATGAGTAAAGAAGTAATAAGGATGAAAGGGCTTAAACATTGTAATAGCACTGTATACCAGTGGCTTCTTATCACTACTGTTTATATTCCTTGACTGCTGATTTCAGTGAAAATGGAAAATAATAAAAGAGATGGGTCAGAGAGTTTTGTAGCATTAAAAGCCACCTTGTCTCAATAGATATTGGGTAATGAAGGAAAAGGTAAAATAAAGGATAGCTGAGGTTTCTAGCATAGAGGGCTTGTGTTCTAAATAAACTAAAAGATCAAAGTTCAAATTTCAACTATTCACTTGCTTTGGGAATCTGGGTTAAAGTATAGAGTGTCAAAGTACAGTATAAAAATCAATTACATATCTGTACTTCAGCAACAAACAGGTAAAATGAAATTTTCAAAGATACATAATTAATCAAAGAATTAGAACTATAAATTACGTAAATATAAATCTAATAAAATATGTGCAAGACTTTTGTAGAGAAAATTATAACACTTTATTAAGATATTGAAAAGACTAAATTGAGAGATGCCATATTTATGGATAGGAAAATTCATTATTATAAATTTCTCTTTTTCTTCCAACTGATGCATTAGATTCAGTGCAACAGCAATCAAAATCCTAATGTTTTTCTCCAATTTGAAAAACTAAGCCTAAAATTTACATGTAAGAACAAAGGGCTAAGAATAGCAAAAACACTCCTGAAGAAGAACACAATGGGAGTTTGAATTAAGGTAGCATGAAATTAGTGTAAAGGTAGACAGACAAACAAATAGAATAGAATATAGTCCAGAAAAAGACCCACTTATATATAAAAGTTTGATATATGACAGTACTGGCATTGAGAATCAGTGGGAGGAAAGGAAGGACTTTTCAATAAACGATACTGGGATAATTGTTATCTGTGAAAAAATTGAAATTAGATCTTTTCCTTAGTCTACCTCACACGTTTGCAGGTGGATTAAAAGCTTGAATGTTAAAGGTAAAATTATAAACATTTGGAAGACATAGAGGAGATTATGACTTTGGAGTAGGAAAGTTATTTAAAAAGACAAGCAAAAAAACAAACATAAAGGAAATGATTGATTTTTTTAGAATTGTGCTTTAGGTGAAACTTTACAGAGCAAATTAGTTTCTCATTCAACAATTTATACACAAATTGTTTTGTGACATTAGTTGCAATTCCCACAACGTGTCAACACTCTCCCTTTCCATACCCCAATTCCCCACTTCCATCTGTCCATTTTTCCTGTCCCTTCTCGCTTCTTGTCATTTCTTTTGGGCAGGTGTTGCCCTTTTGGTCTCGTACACATGACTGAACTAAGAAGCACATTCTTCACATGTATTATTGTTTTATAGACCTGTCTAACCTTTGGCTGAAGGGTGAACTTCAGGAGTGGATTTAGTTCTGAGTTAAAAGCATGTTCAGGGGCCATAACTCCAGGTTCTAGGCTGTGTCAGACCAGCAAGACTGGTCTTTTTGTTTTTTTTGTGAACTTGAATTTTGTTCTTCATTTTTCTCCAGCTCTGTCCAAGACCCTCTATTGTGATCCCTCTCACAGTGGTTGGTGGTGGTAGTCGGGCACCATCTAGTTCTTCTGGGCTCAGGCTGGTAGAGGCTGTGGTACTTGTGGTCCATTAGTCCCTTGGACTGTTACTTCCCTTGCGTCTTTGGTTTTCTTCATTCTCCTTTGCTCCAGATGAGATGAAACCAGTAGATGTTTCTTAGATGGCCACTCACAAGCTTTTAAGACCCCCAGACGCTACTCACCAGAGTTGGATGTAGAACATTTTCTTTATGAACTTTGTTATGCCAGTTGACCTAGATGACCCCTGCAACCATGGTCCCCAGCCCTCAGCCCCAGTAACTCAGTCCCTCAGGGTGTTTGGGTGTGTCTATGTAGCTTCTATGACTTTGCCTTGGTCGAGTTGTGCTGACTTCCCCTGTATTGTACACTGTCTTTCACTTCACCAAAGTTAACACTTATCTACTATTGTTATCAAAGCCAGGAAGGTTGATCCTTGTCTGGCGTGCTCAGCCCTGCCAATGATCTGAACACCGACCTTTGAGAAAAAGAAAGTAAATTTATTTGCAGCGCACAAAGCAAGGAGCCGGGAAGAAGTTCCTCAGAGCCCACTCCCCAAATGATGGGGAGGCAGGACTTTTATGTGATTAGGTAGCAAGATGGTGCCCACACAGACACGGGGTGGGGTGGCAGTTTCCCGTGCAGGTGCACTGGTTCGTTCATGGGGCCAGGTTACAATCCCCCTTGAGCTGTAGCAATTCCTTAAGGGATAAGGTCGATGACTCATCTGGCTGCTTCCTGCCGGGACAAAGTTAGGGACCGAGGCTGCGGAATTGGCCAGCATCTTTTGTTTGTTGTTGTTTAGGACCTGGTGGTGATGGGAGGGAAAATATCCCCACATCTTGAAGCCTTTTTGAAAAGAATTGGGTTAAACACTTTAACAGATAAGTTAGGATCAGACATACCAGCAAGATAAAAAATAGAGGTGTCACCAGGGGCCAAAGCCAGCTGAAACTGGGGAAGAAGGGCATAATCCAATCCCACCAAGAAGCTGTTCCTCTGGATTCTGTTACAGGCCTTGGTCTGGTCCAGTTGGCCACTTGGTCAATTACCTATAAATTTAGCTCTACCTCATGAGAGGTATTGAGCTATACACAACAGGAGATGCCAGCTGTTGCAAACTCCTCCTTCCTTAGCTAGAATATTGTCTGGAGCCAAGCGGTGGTCTAGTACTACTCTAGCCAGAGAGTTTAGTGACTGTTGTTGAGCTTTAGTGGCTCTTCTAGTGGCTCATGATAGAACGTGGATGGTCTCAGAGAGGTTAAGCACAGCATCCTGTAAAGCAGCTAATTGTGGGATAATGGTTAGGATTCTTAAAACTGACCATCCTATTCCTGTCTCTTGATGGGGTTATATCCTGTTCCCCTTAAATCCCAGCCTTTTTCCTTATCATCAGCAGCTCTTCTTTGCCACCTGTGTGTATTGGGAGGTGGAGGTTTTATAAGGGTGGCGAGGTTATTGAAGGTCACAAGGGTCATGGAGAAAGTGACAGTCCTATTGTACAAGTGCCAGTTGATTCTTTTGGGTTTAGGCATGTGTCATGGATTGAATTATGTCCCCCAAAAAATGTGTGTATCAGTTTGGCTGGGCCATGATTCCTGGTATTGTGTGATTTTCCTATATGTTGTAAATCCTGCCTCTATGATGTTAATGAGGGAGAAGAGTGGCAGTTGTGTTAGTAAGGCAGGACTCAATCTACAAGATTGGATTATGTCCTGAGGCAATCTCTTGAGATGTGAAAAAGAGAAGTGAACAGAGAGACAGGGGGACCTCATACCTCATAGAAAGCAGTGCCAGGAGCAGAGCATGTCCTTTGGACTGGGGTCCCTGTGTGGAGAAGCTCCTAGTCTGGGAGAACACTGATGAGAAGAAGACTGACAGAGACAGAAAGCCTTCTTCTGGAGCTGAG